GAAAAGAGTAGTAGTACCTGGAAGCTCATTTTATGCAACTGTGTGTATTTATTTATTTATTTATTTATTTATTCGCTTTGCTATCCCGCCCTAACCCCTAAGGGTCTCTGGGCGGCTTACAGAGGGTGCTAATCGCATTTACAGAATCTAACCTAGGGCCACAGACATACAGGGGTGGTGACTACCCTACCAGGCACCCTTTTTGCGGCGGATATTCGGTTGTTGTTCTTGCGGGTGGTAGTCGGCGGTGTCCTTTTGGTGCTGGTCTTTGGAGTTCCCTTCTTCCGGCTATAGCGATTCAATTTCCGGGCCAGGATCACTCGCACTTCCACGCATGCTCCGCTGCGGCCTCTGTCCCAATGAGGCTCTGGCCTGCTGCGTTGCTCCGCCTCTGCGCCAGTTGGTCCGGCCTCCTTCGCTTGCTCGCTCGCTCCTTGCCTTGCCTTGCCAGCCACCATTTTTCTCCGCAGCCGCTGTCGCCACTGCTTCGCTTCGCCGCTCACCCCCCCACTCCGGGTTCCACTGATGCTCCTTGCACCTGGGATCTGGGAAAGTTAATGTTTCTAAGCTCCACTGCACGTATGGGTCGTGCACTACCAGCCACGGGCTACCTAACCATGGGGAACTTCGCAGTGGGGTATACTATGAAGGACTTCTGCTCCCAGTGCCCCGAAACTCTCACAGGTAGCTTTACAGTGCGGTACTGGCACAAATGCGTGGTAGTGCCATCCATTTGGGTAAATACCACTGGTTCCTTCAGTTTTATCACCCCCGCCCCCAGTCCTGTAACTAATGCTGGGCTTAATAAGTCTCTGGTGCATCCCTAGTCTATAAGGGCTCTGACCCATAGCTGGGTCCTTGCCTCGGGGTTCAAAATAGTGACAGCCACAAAAAAGAGGGAGGAATAGGATCTCATCGATTCTCGCGCTGGTGACTATAGACCTGCTGGCTGGCGCCCTTCATAGCAGGTCCCAGCCTTTTCCCTGCACCTGAGGCTCCTGAGCCTCACTGGAGGATGTTCCTCCCAATGTAGTGTATTCTGCTGTTTGCAAAGCTTTGGGTGACTTGGGCCTCTTCCCTGCTGGTTTCACTTTCTTGTTACGGTGCTCTTCATGGCGCTCCCTTTCTTCGCGTCGATCCAGGTCCAGGTGCAATCCACGGCGAAATGCCTGGCCTTCCTGCAGCGGAGGCACAATCCCTTCTTCAAGTGCTGCTCCCGATCCCCTCCAGGTAGTGGTCCTCTACCCTGAGTCATCCTTGGCCCGCTGCCGCCGCAGAAAGGCATCTTATGTTGGTACAGCTTCACCAGGTTATGCTGGTTTTCCACCTCACGGGCTACCTGGATCCAACCTGCCAGGGTTATGGTGTTGTCTTGAGCCAGTGCCTTCTCCAAGATGAGGGTGTTCAAGCCAGCCCGGGAAAACTTGATCAGGACCTCTTCTGGCCACCCTTGAAGTTTGGCCACTGTGGCTTTGAACTCGTCTGAGTACTCCTGTACTGAGCGAGTTCCCTGGCGTATGCCGCGCAGATGAGTGCGGGCTTTCTCCGGCTCTAGCGGATCTTCTAATTGGTGTCTCAGGGCTTCCATGAAGGCGTTGACATCCCGTAGCTCCAGGGCCACAACATTGTAAAACCCCACGAACCAGTCAGCTGCCCGCTCCCTTTACCAGGTACTGGAACCCTTCCTTTAGCTCCTTGATGTCAGATCAGAGGCTGGCTTGGCCTCGCTTAGTTGCCGGCTCTTCCTCCCACTCCTCTCTCATCTTGCCCAGGTCCGGGTCATCATGAAAGGTGCGGGAAACACAGTGCCTCTCTTGGTCAACCTTTCCACAGGCACCTTGGAATCCCAGGGTGCTCGCCAGCCAAGTGGAATCGTCCCAACGATTGGGGCTGTCTTGTCTTTTAGGAGGGTTGAAGATGACATGCTTCTTAGACCTGGCGCCTGTAGCTTTCCTGTCTCTCTTCTTATTGGGATCGGGTGTTGGGTGCTCGAGTTCAGACCCGCTCGCCCCGCCCTCCATTGCTGTTCCCCATGCCTTCAAAGGTTGAGGCCCGGGGGAAGAAAAATGAAGGAGTCCTAACAATCTGTCAGGTCCCTACCTAAATGCTCTCCACACACACTATTGGCAGTGAAATGCTTTATTGAAGATATGCTTGCTGTAAGTACAAGAACTTTTGTTAGGACTGAAGAAAACTGTGAGAACTTACAGGTTATAGGTAAAAGCATAAAATTCCACACTCTCATACGTCACACCTAACCCCCCAGCGTTACTATGGCAATACAGACAGATATATGGTGCCGTATCTAACCTAGCTTAGGCACAGAAAGTTTCCAAGGTCAATCACACGAGAACCAACTCTTGGGGCACAAGAGTAAGGAATTATTATGGCTACTACCCCCATGCACTCTCACAACACCCCCCCCCCAGGAATTCAACATGACAAGCGAAGGGAAAGGAAAGCAGAACTTAAGGAAATGAAAGTTAGGCCTGAGCTTGACATAGAGCATGCTTTTGCATGTGTAAATGAACATGAGCACAAATTGAGTGAAGGGGAGACTCCCAGCGTAGACATGGGCTGTGATCACACGAGCAGTTTGGCCCGACACGGCCACTCCTCCCCTCTGGATCAAATGGGCGCAGTCAGACAGCCACATCTGTCAGGCATTCCCCAGCCATGCTTATCCCATCATAGGACAACTTGAAGCCGGGTTAAAAAGGCACCACATCACAAGTGGTGCTTTTGGTTCCCCACACAGTCATTGCACATGGCCAGGTGTCTGAACGTGGGGGAGCGCACAGAACGGATTTGGCAGTCTGAGCCTGCAGATCTGTTCTGCCACTAGGGCGGGTTTTAAAAAAAATGCCTATATGCATGCATTTTGAAACATTTTTGGGCAGCACACATTGTGGCTGAGGCTCTGAAATAATGTGGGTGCTTGACCACGGGATGTCTGCGTGGATAATCCACAGCAGGGTGTGCTATGTGGCTGGTATGCCCCACAACACTTTAAACTGGTTCAGTTAGAGGCGGCACCATATTGCGCCAAGCTGCCAGTGTGACCACAGCCATGGTCAAAGCAATACTATCTGGATATCCCAGAAAAAGATCCTTCACATGTCAGTATCCACTTTCAACAGTCAAACTCTGTTATAAATGGCATTCTGAATTCTTCCAAGCCGTCAAAAACTCTAAAACATGAAATTATTTTACATTTGTTTCCAGTTGGCACATTAACACTTGAAAGTTATGTAAGTGACAGAACTGGTATTGTAACCACTTGATCTCCTCATTTTCAGTCCTTTTGTTTCTTAGTCCTAAACCGGATGCGGCCAAACTGTGGCTCGGGAGCCACGTGTGGCTCTTTCACACATATTGTGCGGCTCCCAGCAGGGAAGGGAAGGCATACTTTTTCTCCCTCCCTCCCATCTATTTGCTTTCTTTGTTTCTCTCTCTCTCTTTCCACCTCTTTCATTCTTTCTTTCCACCACTTTCTCTCTTTTTCTCTCTCTCTTAGACAAATAAATATCATTAGCAAATAAATAAATATAATTGAATAGATACATATCATTATCAATATCTGTTTTTACCCCTTTTATTTTTGGCAGACTCATTTAATGTTAATAAAAAGCAAATTTGCATATTTTAAAATAAAAACATGGTTTATTTGTTCGTGTCTTGAGGCTCTCAAACATCTGACATTTATTCTTTATGGCTCTTCAGTTGAGCAAGTTTGGTCACCCCTGTCCTAAACCCTTCCACCAAAATGTGCACTAACATTTGCAAGTGACAGTTTGAATGGGAAGAACATTAATAACTCGTGACAAAGAACTGAGCCACTGATATCTGTCTGGAGGATAGTGTGAAACAGACCCGCAGTGTACAACTCATTATGTAATACAATAAAATTAGATCACGAGGTAGTAGCATTCTAAGCCTGAAAGGAGAAAAATGAACAAGTAGTGAGTGAGACTGCAGAGAAAATGAGTGCTTTATTGAACCCTCCAACAGAGAGATGCTTTTTTAGGTTATTGGTGAGACATCCCAGAAAAAAAGTAACGTGTAGGAACACCTGTGCTCTTTATGTAGTGCCCTCTCCTTTGAGACTTTGTTGATGCACTTGGTGTTCTTCTCTGCTGTGGATTAGGGTTTGGGGGGGGGGGATGTTTTAGTTGTCAAAAAGACAACATAGTTGTGAGGACAGAATCAAGACAAATCCTGTAAAGCACATTGCCTTAATTGGTTTTGGCCGCACAGTTTCCAGTTAGGGTTCTTTAGCTGAAAAAAACATTGTCCATCCGTTTAAGAGCTCAAAAGCTACAAAAGAGAGTATCTGCTGGGCCTTCTCTGTCTCCCCCCCCCCACCTCATTCACACCTACCTTTGTCTCTCCTGTTTAACAAACAGCATGCTCTCCTTAGTGCAGCAGGCAACAAAAACCCGTGCATGAAGGGGACCCTGTGAGCAGGAGCTGCCAGTGCTGTAGGCTTTCCCACTGTCCTTGTCTTAAAATGACAATGCTGTGACTAGGCAAACTCAATTTCATTTCAGAAATTTGGCTGGCCGTTATTGTGTGCCATTAGCCAAAGTTAGCATAGTCTTCCATTGTGCTGCTGACTGGGATCAGAGGCTTCTGAGGTCCACATCTTTAATAACTTTCCTGAGTAGTGACAAAGCACGTCAGCATCAGACTGTGGCAGATATTATGGTACAATGGTAGTTAATTGCTGAAATCCAGGGGGGGGGTCTTTGAGTTGCTATTTTGCATTCCAACGCAGGAGCAGGATGATAGAAACCAAGCCGGGTGCAACAGGGAAAGGATATGTACACAGAGGTCACAGAAAACAGAATGGCAGCTTGCTGACAATTTTGCCTTGAATTCTTATTTACACCCTGATCCATGTATGGCATATGTAGGCTTAATTGGGTTGGGGGTTTTTTTAATGAGCTGTGGAAATGAAACAGAGTGACCATCTGAAATATTTTCCCTCCTTTCATCAGATCATACGTGTCCTCTGGTGGTACTACTTCTCAAAGCTCATTGAATTCATGGATACCTTCTTCTTTATTTTGCGGAAAAATAACCACCAGATCACTGTTCTCCACGTCTACCACCATGCAACGATGCTGAACATCTGGTGGTTTGTTATGAATTGGGTGCCTTGTGGCCATTGTAAGTATCATTGTACCCCAGGGCGGAGTCCTGTGTGCGTATGACTGAGCATGTGTGTCTAGCCCACTTCCAAGGACGATGTTATCTTTTTTAAAAAGTCTTTTCACGTGGTTTTGTTAGAGGTTTATGGTGTTACAGACACACATTCCTTGTTCCTCAACCACACATGCACACATACACGTCTTGAGGCCCCAGCTACATTAGGGCTGCCAAGTGGGGGCGGGGGGGGCGGGTAAACCCCCGCTTTGGAGGCCCGATTTCCGCCGCCGCGGAATCGGGCCCCAGGGGGAACCCCACCCCGGTGTGCGCGTCACCAGGAAGTGACGTGGGCATGCTGGGGGCGGAGCCACGGCCATAGAAGGGAAAACTATGGTTTTCCCTTGTGTGGCCCTGCCCCCAGCGTGCCTGGCGTCCTACCGTCACTTCTGGGTGACGTGCGTGCGGCGCATGCGCGCTTTGCGTGCGCACACACACACAAGACGCCGGCCGGGAGCCTCCCCGCTCCCGGCGAAGATACACTTGGCAACCCTAAGCTACATACACTAAGGTTACTAGATGTAAGATTCGTTTTAACTTGGGGATAAACATCACTAGCTGCTACCACCAGAAACAAGTCTTACTGGATCTGATGAGTATTCAACCACTGCAAATATTTATCTCTCCTTTTTTCCTGGTCAGCCCCTGAATTTCCAATATAAAGGGGAGAGTGTGTGTGTGTGTGTGTTTGTGCGCAAGCACATGCCTGCATGAATCAAGAGGCTGGACTTCTCCCCTCCTCCCCCCCTTTTCCCCTTTGTCTGTGCTGTCCATTTCAGCATCTCTTTGTTTAAAAGCACAGGAGGTTCGTGACAGCTGTCACCTCGTGAGTAGGCTCCACAAGCATTCTCTTCCAAGAAACCAGGGTGCATTTTTTTAAAAGTTCGCTATCTAAGAATGTATTCTAGAAAATGCAGGTATTTGAGCAAAATCTGTAGACAGATAAAGTAAAAGTGAACACTAGTAAAATGAAAATGCCATTGGAACCTCGATCTACTCACAGTGTCTAAGCATCCCTCCCCTCTTCAGAAATGGGCCAGACTCTGCATCTTGTCAAGAAGTTTGCTAAAGTTTGCCCAACGACTTGCTGGAGATTTGACCAAGAGTTATATAACCTGGGCTTTTGCTCTGGTGTGGGAGTTCCCTTTCTCATCCAAGCAGAACTTAGTGTACAAATTCAAAAATTTCCTCCAAAACAGCTTTTGTCCCAGTCAGTACAAAAATATAGACTAAAAGTTGATTGCACTCCTCTCCAAAATGAGGGTCACAGGCAAACTGGACGCAAAGAGGCGAAGAACAGGGACAACATGGTTGATTCTGCTTCTCTCCCCAGATCAGTCTGTGTAAAACTATCAATTCCTTTCCGGGAATATAGCTTGGGAGTTATGACCCGCTGCAAACACATAAGCCAGTGTTGTTAATCCATCCATAACATACAGTAGCACCTTCCTGAAATCTGTGTCACATCTGCTTTCATCCTTGGAAGCTTTTTTCTAAGGAGAACTCAGACTTGGAGAACTGGTTGTGTATAATCAGGGCTATTTTTGGGCAGGAACGCACAGGAACGGAATTCCGGCTGGCTCCCAAGTTGGCCACGCCCAGCAGGAACTCATTAGCATATTAGGCCACACCCAATAGCAGAAACTTATTAGGATTGGCTACATTAGGGGTGTGTGGCCTAACATGCAAAGGAGTTCCTGCTACAAAAAAAGCCCTGGGTTTTGAAAACAAACAACGTAAACAGAATAAGAAGCAAAAGGTGGATGTGGCTGGATGACCATACTTCTGGTAACATGGGAGTGCGGCCTAATGTGTGAATGAGCTGTGCCGTCAGGGGTATGGCCTAATATGCTAATGAGTTTCTGCTGTTGGGTGTGGCCTATTATGCTAATGAGTTCCTGCTGGGCTTTTTCTACAAAAAGAGCCCTGTAATATAATTTTTCCTTGTGTCTATCAAGTTTCTGCTCAGTAAAGATGCCCATTCCTTGAATTTGTCTCATTCTACAGGTATTGCGGGGAGGGCGGAGTATAAATTGAATAAAATAAATAAATAAAATACATTTGCCTTCTCATCATAGCTTTAAATTTAGTTTGTTATGGTTTGTCCCTGCCTCTTTACTTCCATCACAGGACTTGAGGTGGGTCTTGTAAAGTCCCCTGGAAGTTTCTCTTCCAGGAACTGCTCAGACTTGACCTGGGTTGGCTTTAGCTGTAATCATATGACCTTCCACCCATATCCTGGAACTGATCATGGCATCAGACTCCCCAAAGAGCCAATCTGTGGGCTGATTCTGATAGTCAACTTTGCATACAGGCTGCCAGACAGCTCTTGTACACAAAGTAATTCCACATGGGAAGAAGAATGTGTTAGTTCATCCTACATAAGGTAAAGGTAAAGGTTTCCCTTGGTCGAAAGCCAGTCGAATCCGGCTCTAGGGATGCGGTGCTCATCTCCATTTCCAAGCTGAAGAGCCAGCACTGTCCAAAGACGTTTCCGTGGTCATGTGACCGGCATGACTAGACACCGATGTGCACGGAACTCTGTTACCTTCCCACTGAAGTGATACCTATTTATCTACTTCCATTCACGCTATACAGTGTGGGTGGTGTGCACACTTCCATGTACATTGTGTCTTGGGCTGAATATATGTTTGCTGCATCTGCCTGTATCTGAATGAGAGTGCTCAGAGGAGCTTAGGGATCCATACCAATCTACAGCACTCTCTTTAAGGTACAATAGAGTGTGGGAAACACTCTGCAGTTATAAACAGTTAAGCTCAGTGTACATGGCAGATGTGGTCTCAGACAGCTATTGAGTGGCTTAAGCTGTTTGTGTGTTGTGTTCATTTTGGTTCTAAAAGATAACTTTTTGTATATTGCTTCGTAGGATATTAAAACGACCTCTCCCTTTATCATTTCCAGCCTACTTTGGTGCTACTCTTAACAGCTTCATTCATGTTCTCATGTATTCCTACTATGGGTTATCTGCTGTTCCATCCATGCGTCCCTATCTCTGGTGGAAGAAGTATATCACTCAGGGACAGCTGGTGAGTCTTTCTCTGGTACTCATAATGACTTTCTGAACGGCAGCCTGTAATGGGCATCTGGGCAAGTATCCGGTGCTCTTCTGGGAACAGCTCTGAACATGCTGACTAATGCATGATCTGCATTTTAGTCTGCCGTGATAATGAGAAGCTTTACACCAGGCAAGAGCATTCTGTGCTGCATCCCCACTCTCTGGCTCTGCATTGGAGTCCCTTGTGTTCGCTTAGCTCTGCAGCCTGCCGGGCCCTCTTTGTTCATTCTACATCCCACCCACTGAAATGAATGGGGAAGCCTATAAAATGACTGAAGGGTTTCATTTGCACCCTGCAGTACATACAAGGCTCTGAATGGAGGATCCCTGTCCCAGCGTCCATAAAAATGAGACCAGCTGAAGCATGACTTTCTTGTTTCCCCACTTTTATTTCTCAGATTTGTTTCAGCTCTATGAAGTGGGAATGGATGCATTTCTCAGAGGGCTGATTTGTTGATGCAGACTGGCTAGGTTCATGACTCTATGTAAGCAGTAATCATATTTGGTCAAACTGATGTAGGTAGACCCTGTTACACATTGGGAAAGACTTCACCGTTGGTGGTGGTGGTTCTTTTCCAACTTTGGAAGCTTTAGAATAGACTGACCAATCCATAGGCTGGATCCGTGCCTCTGTCAGAGCACTGAAATACAGCTTCTCTCATCAGTGTTGGGGTCACAGGGATTTTAGGTGGACAGAGCCAGCATGGTGGGATCTGAAGAGGAGAGGCCTTTTGGTTTCAGCCCATGTGTGTGTGTGGGCTTCCCAAATAGACCTGTCATATTTATACCTGAGCTACTGCTTAGGAAGAGATTTGAAGATGGGGTCACAGGGATTTTAGGTGGACAGAGCCAGCATGGTGGGATCTGAAGAGGAGAGGCCTTTTGGTTTCAGCCCATGTGTGTGTGTGGGCTTCCCAAATAGACCTGTCATATTTATACCTGAGCTACTGCTTAGGAAGAGATTTGAAGATACTCTGGTGTTTTTTTTTAAATTATTTTTATTATTATTACTAGGAATCAGGCCCGTTGTAGGAATGAAGACAACGGGCGCTAGTCCGGCCTCCCGGCCGCAGGCCCCCAGCCCCCTTCCCCCCCGGTCGCCTGAGTCCAAGGCTGTCGGAATGGGCCCCTGCCGCACGGTCGAGGCACTGGTGGGTCAAGCTGGCCAGCCTGTTGGGCCCACCTCGCACGCTCGAGGCATCGTCATCGACCAGGGCTCACCCTCTCCAGGCTCCATCTCTCAAATCTCCAGGAATTCCCCACCTGGAGTTGGCAACCCTATCTCCTTCCCAGCCAAGCATCAACCTGCCTTCACTTCCCCCTCAGAATATTACTGCTCGCCCGAATATACCTATAAATTTTCAACAATTCAAACTCATAGTAACTATTTTCTTTACATATTAAAATTGTTTCTTTACTATGGAGCTGTTATAATTATCCAAAGTGTTCAAATTTCATTTAGAGTTTAGGCAAAGTTTACATCCACATCCTGTTACTATAACCTACATTAATCTTAAATCAAAATACCCAAATTTAATTCAATTTTAATCCCTAAATAGTCCAAGTTATACTTTAATACCAGCACAATTCATCTCATTCGTGTCAGGGCTTAAACAAAAATAAACAAAATGATTCAATAAATTAAAAAAAACCCCAAATAATAATTTAGGATATTACCTGCCACTTATATTCAATACACATCATAATCAGCAAGTTAGAGATTTCTATAACCATTCTACACCCATTCCCTTCTCAATTCATATCCATTAAATTCACATTAAATATTGATATATCAGAATCCTTCCTACAAATAACAATAATAATAATAACAGTACTAAAGGGGGGTATAACTTTCAGCCTAATCAAGATCTCTAATACATCTTCAAATTACTTTTAGGGACAATTTATATTATAGAGTTCTCATCATTAGCCATTTCATTCTTCACAACCATTGCTTCAACAAGGAGAAGTATCCTATACACCCACAAAATTCTTGACCCACGTTTATTCCCCCATCTTTCTAGTATCATCTTCTTTTTCCGGATCTCTTTTCTATGCCTACTGTCTTTAAATTCTTGTCTTCTCAGATCCCAATTTTCCCTTTTCTGTTTCCACAAATCGGTTATTTTTCTTTTATGTTTTTTAAAGCTTTTCTCATCCCCTACACACCAGTCTCTGGCTTTGTGCTCTAGCGTCTCTCTCTCTCTGGCCCAAGAGAGCAGGGAAACTTCCATTTATTCCCCAGTCCAGCCAGCCGACTGTGGAGTAGCTGAATTTCTGCTGCCTCCCAGGGTTCCCCCATGTCTGTGGCTTCTGGCCTGGACAGCCTGGTCAGCACAGGCAGCAGGAGCCTTTCCTAACCTCCTGTAGGACAAAGACTGCCTCCACCCTCTATATTGATGCTACCCTTCTCATTGGGACAGTCCCTCTTTTCCCGTTCTTTTTGGCCTTGGGGCAGCTGGGAATTGTAGTCCAGCAGATGCGGAAGCCCCATTCAACCCAATGAGTGATACCCCTGCGGGCCCCTCTCTGGAACTGCAGCTCAATTAAGCCTTATGGGGGAACATTTTAAACAAACAACCACAGACAGCAGCCAGGAAACTGCCATTTCGTTACACCTACCAACAGCCACTGAGGTAAAAGTCACTCCCACACAGGAGGAAAGCAAGAGAAGCATCTTCGTCAAGAGAGAAAGCCATTTGCAAGTAATTCTGACAGGGCAGAGTAGCTGAAGGGGGAGTGGGCGGGGAAGAGCAGCCAACCCAGCCCCTGGCCAATGACACACGAGTACTCTTGAGCGGCGACTGATGGGCCAATCTGTGAGAAAGCATTTTACAGCCAGTGGGAGCGCATGGAATGTTGCCACTTTAAAACAGCATTATTATATAGAGAGATTACTAATATCCTGTTCTTGCTTACTAGTTATCTTTTTTTCTTTTATTGGACAGACTCAATTTGTCCTAACAATCTTCCAGACGAGCTGCGGGGTTGTGTGGCCCTGTGCATTCCCTATGGGATGGCTGTACTTCCAGATAGGCTACATGATCTCCTTAATAATCCTCTTCACCAATTTCTATATTCAGGTAAGCTAAAAGTTAAGGCATTCACCTTCTGCAGTCACTCACATTTTCATGAGATTTAGGAAAAAATCGGAAGAATCCGTTTTTAAGCCTTAACATTTGTCAATAGTTAGATTCTTGGACAGGACATTTTTTGGAAGCTTTACACTGTGTGTTACGCAATTAAGGAAGATGACATGTCTGAATAGCAAGTTACATAATTTCTGTTTACCCAGGTTAACAACCAAGTCGTTTCCATCTTTTTTCTTCTTCTTTTTCTTTTTAGAATAAGCTGTTTTATGATCTGCTCTAAGAATGTTGATTTATGCTGTTTGTATGACTCTGGATTGTTTGCAATGGCTTTGTTTTATTACTAGCCATTCTTACATTTTTTTACTTTGTGTGCCAATTTGGACAAGTCCCTGGAGAAGCAGCACATATATGGTATAAATCCAGGTGGTCAGCCGTGTTGGTCTGAAGCAGTAGAACAAATTTAGAGTCCAGTGGCACCTTTAAGACCAACAAAGGTTTATTCAAGGTATGAGCTTTCTTGTGTATGTGCACTTTTTCAGATGCATTGGAATGGAAGGTAAGGTTCAAACTTATAGACAGGGGCTGAACAGCAAATTAACATGTAACACAATGAACATGTTTTAAGATGTGCAAAAACAAAACTAACAAGCTAAAGTTATAAGGTCAACCGTTGTAAAGCTGTAAATAAATAAATAATAGAAGTCTGCTTTAAGTAAAGTGCAGCGCAATAGTACTAGAACATGAAGAGGGACTCAAGTAAACCTTAGATGTAGTCAGGGACTTGGATCCCTGATAGTCAAGACCCATTAGAATCGTCTGTGATATGCCAGAGAGCAGACACATGCATATACATGCATTCTTGGACTATAATACGTATATAGAAGTAATTGGGTCCTAGCGAAGAGAGTCGGATTCGACTAAATTTCGAGCAAGGGAACCTTTACCTTAACTTATGAGGAAAAGGCCTCTTTCTGCATTCCCAATGGCAGCCACTTTCCCTGGTTAAATGCGAGTGATGGAGCTGACTAGAATCTTAAGCAAGAGTTTCCTCTTTAAAACATTTCATTTTTTAAAATGTTAGTGCATTGTTCAGAGTGGCTTTGACCCATCATGTGGTTCCCTGCCTTTGTAAAGCTCTGCGTGGGCAGATATATGTCTACATAAAATGTTCCAAAAATTCTCCTGGCCTTTGTGTGTGAGATGGGTCATGGAAGCTGACCCTTGTATTATTGAATATATGCCTATGCAGCTACTGCTGCAGGACTGGCGAAGCTATTGGGGGCTACTTTGGGTCTCCACCACCACCGGGTATTGCCACAGAAGAGTGTCATGGTTTGAGTGTTGGACTAGGACCATTCAGTTCACTGGAGGACCTTAGGGGAGTCTCACACACTCAGCCTAATCTACCTCACAGGGTTGTTGTGAGGATAAAATGGAGGAGAAGAGACTGTTTTGAGGTACTCTGAGTCACCACTGAGGAGAAAAGTGGAGTCCAAATGAAGTAAACAAAATCATCATCAATTTTGAGAGCAGTCTGTCTCTAGCCTTAAACCAACTTTGTGTGTGTGTTTTCAGTAATGAAATGAAACACATCGATTAGTTTTGTCCCTTTCTTCTGTTGCTGTGGCAAACACTAACTGCTGAGCGCTGTTTGGGGTTTTTTTTTCCAGACTTACAACAAAAAGGCAGCTTCCAGAAGGAAAGAGTATCAGAATGGCTCCATGGCTGCTGTGAACGGATACACAAATAGCTTTTCTTCCCTCGAGAACAATGTGAAGCAAAGAAAACAAAGGAAGGATTGAAGACCAAACTGAGAAGCCATTTTGATATTCCAGGCAACAACAAGAGACAAAAAAAATCATCTGATTGTAAGCACAATACAAGTTGTGCACTGATAACTCTTGACAGCTACTGTAACTATTCCTGCCTAGAATAGTGGCGATTTATGTAGGACTTAACCAGTGCAAAACATCCTAGAAACTATTGAGTAGGCTAAAGTTGTGGACAACAAGTTTTGGGTGGTCATAGACCCGAGTATAAACTGTGGAAGGGAGTATTATTGTAGTGTGAGTGAGTGTGTGTGTATATATATGTATGTGTGTATATATACATATATATACATACATATACATACATACATACATACATATATATTGACACTGCTGTTGCCTTACTAGTCAATGATAGGTGCTGAATTATGATTCACAGTTTCAGAACACTGTAATCCAAACTCATATTTTTAAACTGTAGATAGTGCATGTGATTGTAATTTGTACAATGAAGTTGTTTAGTTTGTTTATTTTATTTTATTTTCTGTAGTTTGAAGCACACATGCCTTAAATGAAATAAAAGCAGAACCCAAAACTTAATACAGTTTGGAAGGTCATGGAAATGTTTCACTCTGGGAGTGACTTCTCACATGACAGTTTATACTCGGATGCAGATACCCAAGTACAAAATAGATATGTATTGTGTCAGTTACAAAGGGTCCTTGTGTGGGAAAACCTAGATGGCCTTTCCATTCAAAATGCTTGTTAGAAGCACCCAAAAAGACTGGTAACCAGAGTGCAAACATTTCTGCACGTGTCCTTTTGTGGGTGCCACAGTATGCATTTATCCTGTACGTGGAGATCATGAGGCCAAAATACGTCCTAAGAAGCCACCCCAGGTTGCTTGACTCCTTTCTAGAGTCTGTAAGCCATTGCTTGAGTTACTGTACTGTGTACTACACATTGTTTGCTACATGTGATGGTGGAATTGGAAATGGCAGGTTAAGTCAAGGAGAAATACTCCTCCATGCATCCTGTACAGAATGAAAGGGACACGGCCAGAGCACAGCCCTTTATTCTTATCAAGACTTGTGCAAAAGGCCTTGTTGGTCCACGGTTTGTGTCACTCGTAGCTCTCACAAGCCCGAAGAAGTTTAAAAAAAAAATACTAGGCTTTGTTTTGCATAAATAATTGGCACTTAAGCAGTATCTAAAAAAATAATGCTGACTTGCTAAGTATTAGAAAGTATAAGGAGTGGGCAGAACATCTTACAGTTCCTACCCCTTTTAAGATCGGGGCTTAGTGTGGAGATCTTACTCAGCACCTTGAAAACGGCCGAGAAAGGAGGTGGGTTTGGGGATAGGAGCTGTGGCCTCTGCCCCCCCCCCCTCCTTCCCTGGGTTCTTTTAATGAAGGAGCTTGTTGAGAGACGCCCCAGCTGGTTCATCATCTACTTCATGGGTAGCTTTACAGAACAAGAGTGAAGATCCAGGCCACAGCTGGGCAACCCGACTTCCACTGTGCGTGACTTCAGCCACAGAGGCAGTTTCCAGTACTGGAACTGGAGCCATGGAGACACGCGCCTGCTTTCAAAAGCAACTAATTCGTTTTAACCACAACTAAAAAACAACTCCAAGGCAATATGGGGCTTTACCTTTCTTACTTTCTTGGTGTCCCGGTTGCTGTTTGTGTAGCAAATATTGACTTTGAAAAACGTGCCTAACAGCAAAGGGTTTCATTTATTGTTGTTCAGAAAAAGGAAAAAAAATTGAAAACATGTTGGTGATGAGTGTCTGTTTTCTTACTGTATGTTGTATGTATCTCACCTGTACTTCCTTGGCTTGTTCAAAGTTTGTTTAGAAGTGCTTGTTGAAAATTACTGTTTGTTGTGAAATCCCAACCCCCACCCCGTATTTGCAGTGTCAGTTGTAAAAGCAGACATCTGTAACAGATATGCTGTGTTATGTGGTGGAGTTTAGCCTATTAACATGTTCATCAAACTCTGTGGCAAGCTAGTCTATTATTGCTCATAAGCCCCAGTTTATATGTTATGATTTGATATTTATACAATATCAGTTCTACCATAATTTTTGCACAGCTAATGTTAGGGAACTAATAAGTTCTCCGAATTAGTTTCATGGATTTTCTTTTGCTTGTTTTTGAAAAGTGAGACAGCACCGGTTTACATTATTTTTTTAAAAAAACTTTCAAAACTTGTGTGTACGTGTCTTGGTTTCTAGGTACTGATTTGCAAAACGCCTTTACATATTTCATACAGCAGCTTCATTGTTCAAAATATGCTGTCTAAATAAATGTGCTAAAAATAAAAAACACCCTAGCTTGTCTGAAATACCTGCATTATTAATATGTTTTTTTGTTTTTAATCATTAAATCATTCTTGATTACCTGTGTCTGCATTTCCATATTGTGATATTGTGGTAGATTTTCTGGTTTGGCAACTGACACTAAAATGAATATTTATTTAATTATTTAGACAGGCTTTCCCTGTCGATACAGTGCCTATATTTCTGCATGAGATAAATAGGAAAAGTGTCATTGTTGCAGTTCCTGGACGGGGTGTTGTTTTAATTGCTTCCATTTTGCACATTTGATGGGCTGTCATGGTTTTCTGTATGGATCAACATTCTGGCACACCAATGATTTAAACCTGTTCGGGGGGGAAATTAAGACCTTATATGCAAACTTATTCAGGGCTTATTAAACAGCCATTTTCAGAAACAAAAAATGAAGAGCAGTTTTCTTGGAGAGAATAACTTAAAAATAAAATAAAAATAGGAGTAGTAGAATTAGCCAGTCTCCTTCCTTCTGAGTGCTTTTAGCTTCAGGTTGTCCCTGATGGTTTATTATTTCAGTGGCTAATGTGCAAGGAAAACTACCTGAAAGGGGACTTGGAGAGAAATGACTGATGAAGGGTTAAACATTATTTCCCTCTCCCACCAGCTCCCTACTTCAGCTCTCCACATAATCCCCCATCTTGTTTTTTGGTGGTTGCTCTTTTATTTTTTTAAAAATGGCACACTGTGATGACAACCGCTTGTAATATAATTAGCTCTGTAGATTTCCTTCTTCCCAGAAATATTGGAAATGACAGCTGGGGTTAAGAGTTGTGTAACACTCAATAATTCTCAGTACCTTCATCTGATATATATAAAAGCCCCAACACGTTGGCACTTTCCAGCTCTCCCATTGTCTGTGCTGTGTGCTCCATCAGCCATTGGCCCATCAGCTGTCACTCAAGAGTACTCATGTGCCATTGGGTGGGGACTGGTCCACTCCTCTCCCCCACCCACTGCCAGCTTGGCCACTTTCCTGACAGCATAAACTGCCAAAACAGCTGTCTCGCCTGACAAAGATGCTTCTCCTGCTTGGCTTCTCTGACTGGCTACTGAGGTGATCTACCGGCCCTCAAACCATTCTGTTACCTTCCTGCTCTGGGGCTAACTTTCCCCTCAGTGACTGTTGTTAGGCAACCAAGCTTGGTTTTGTCATCAAAAAGGCAAAGATAGGAGGCCCTTTCCAGGCCTTCTTTGGCTTTTGTGGGGAACTCATTGGGGCCAGTCCTGACTTGGGTTGGCAGCTCCAGGTTGGGACATTTCTGGAGATTTTGTGGTGGAGTCTATGGAAGCCAGAGTTTGGGGAGGGGAGAGGCCTCAGCTGAATAGAATGCCATAGAGTCCACCCTCCAAAGCAGTTATTTTCTCCTGGGGAAACATTGCTGCCAATCTCCAGGTGAGGGCTGAAGATCACTCAGAATTAAAACTGCTCTCCAAATGGCAGAGATCAGCTCCTTTGGAGAAAATGGATGCTTTGCAGGGTGGACTCTGTCATACCCTGCTGAGGTTGCTTCCCACCTGCTTGGATCCCCACTGTGGAGAAAGATTACTTTTCGTAGGCAGAGGCTGCGGGGAGTGGGGTGGAAAGTTGAAGTCAGAGGGGCAGATTGATGGTTGGCCAGAAAGGAGATAGGATTGCCACCTCCAGGTTGAGAAATTCCTGGAGTTTTGAGGGGTGGAGCTTGGAGAGGTGAGGTTTGAGGAGGGGTGGGACCTCAGACAGTAGGGGCAGATTGATGGTTGGCCAGAAAGGAGATAGGGTTGCCACCTCCAGGTTGAGAAATTCCTGGAGATTTGAGGGGTGGAGCTTGGAGAGGTGAGGTTTGAGGAGGGGTGGGACCTCAGACAGGTGCAAGGCCATAGTCCATCCTCCAAACTAGCTATTCCCTTGTGGGTGACCATTGTTGCCAATCTCCAGGGGAGGGCTGGAGATCACTCAGAATTACAGCTGCTGTTCAGATGGCAGACATCAGTTCCCCTGGAGAAAACGGTAAGCTCTGTGTCATTATACCCTGCTGAGGTCACCGCAGCAAATGATGCTGGATGCCCAAGGCCAGGGCACCTACCCAGAGCCTCTGTTTAGAGCTCATTGTATTTATTTCCACAATGGGCCTTATTCCTAGTCAAACTATAATTCCCAGAATTCCCTTTGTGGGAATAATTGTAACAAAGTGGCATGAAATCAAT